TTTTAGTAGAATTATAATAATTTAAACCACCTACAGTATCAATAGATAATATTACAAAAGGTTCACTAACTGATGGTAAATTTTGCATTAAACCAAATTTCCTTTTGTTTACTTTTCTTATTAAACTGACATACTTCACAATGTTTACAATAATTTCTAACATCTTGAACAATTCCTGGCCAATAATATTGTGGAGATAACAAAATTAGCATAGATGATACACCAATATGACCAAATTGTATATAGGCCTTTTCAAGTAATTTTGTACATAGAGATATGGGTATCACAATTTTGTACAATCCCTGTTTTTTGATAGTTAAGACATCATTCATTTTCCTATACTTAGTATTACAAACATTATCTAAATTTTGATATTCTTTTATTTCTTCTAATGATAATAAATTAACTTGCAATCTTAAATGTTGACACATAGGATTTCTAGAGAGCATGTCAGCTTCAACATTAGTAGATCCTTTTTTATATTTTATATCAAAATCATACATAGATAATTTTTAAAGACCACCTAAATAGACGACCTGTAGGGTGTTTTATATTTTTAAGCTAAACTAAAGCAGCATGATCAGTATGTACAGTAAATGGTTACCATGTAAATAATAATAAAATTTATCAATTGCATCAATAATAGATAAACATTCCAGCTCAGTAATGGCATAATTTTGTTCATAAGATCTTAATTTTCTAGAATGAAAAGCAATTGGATGTAAACTACCATCAGGATATTCTTATTTTAAAACAGCAATAACAGCTTCTTTGGACACATCAACAAATACATGACAGGGATATTTAGGATTAAACAAAGTTAAAATAGGTCTAGAAATCAATGCAACTTTTAATTTTTGAAAAGCTTTTTGACATTCATCAGTCCAATTATAAGGAGTATCTTTCTTAAATAAATTTGTTAATGGGGCTCTAATTTTAGCATAATTTTGAATAAATTTATGATAAACATTAATACTTCCTAAAATATCTTTGTAATTCTTTGATTTTTTAGGGGGTTTGCAATTTCTTAATAACCTCTATATTTGCATTACTGGGCTGGAATTTACCTGCTTGAATTTCATATCCTAGAAAATTTATTCTTTCTTTAGCAAAATTACATTTAGATTGTTTTAATTTTATATTCTCTTTCTCACATATATCAAATATTAATTTAAGATGATTTAAATGTTCATCAAAATTTGGAGAGAATACTATAATATCATCAAAATAATTTAAAGTAAATTGAATCTGATATTTGTTTAAAATTTGTCTAAGAGCTCGTTGGAAAATAGCTGGGGAATTTTTCCAACCAAAAGGTAATCTAGTAAACTCATACAGTCCAAAATTTGTAGTGAATGCCAATTTTTCAGTATCCTTTTCATTTAATTTTATATGCCAATAGCCTGATGCCAAATCCAATGTAGAAAAGATTTTTGCATTTGTTAATTGATCTAAAACAGCATCAATTCTAGGAATAGGTTCAGAATCAGTTTTAGTAATTTGGTTAAGCTTCCTGAAATCAATACACAATCTGCTTCTGGACTGCTCGTCTCACTTATAAGCTAAAGTTACAGAAGCAGCATAAGAACTATAAGAAGGTTTAATAATTCCAGCTTTTAACAATTCATCTATTTGTTTTTTAATTTCACTATTATCTTTAGGAGATGCTCTATATGGTCTATAGGCTATTGGTAATTCAGAAGTTAATATAACTCTGGGAGGTTCAACCCTTATACAACCAACATCATATTTACTTTTTGCAAATATATGGTTATAATCATTCAACAATTTCTGTAATTTACTATCAGAATTTTTACTATTTTCAAAATAATTACCACAATTTTTAGTACTAAGATCATTTTTACATACAAAATTTTCGCTATGATCAAAATATTTACTAGATTGTTCAGCACTGACATCATTTTTACATACATGGTTATTTTGGAAAAACTTGTCTACTTTAACATGTTTACTTACCTGTTTTCCAAGCTGATACACTTCATAATCATGAAAATTCAATTGTAATTTAAATAATGAAACACATGGTGATGAAAGCAATAAATAATTCAAATTTGAATCTACTACATAAAATATCACATTATTTTCTATTTTACCTACTTTACACTTTTCTTTGATATTTTCTCTATATGAACTTCACTAGATATTGAAAATATTTTATCATAGGATTTCAATGAAATTTCTCTAAATTTATCACCAATTTTGTTAAAAATTTTTAACGGTAAAACATTAATTTGCGATCCCGTATCAATAATACTGGGAATTTTTTCCTGTCCAATTTGGACATTCACTTTAAAGTAATATCATTTTTTAACTTCTCTTTTAGGAACCCTGTTATAATTAATAGCAGGTAATTGTGGATATCGAATTGGCCGATATGCATACTGTAGAGGTCGGTATTGCACTTGTTGATAATTAAAAGGTCTCACACTATGAAAACTTTGATAAGGAGTGGCTTGCACTGGTCTGGGATAATAGCACCTCGGAACAGTTTGCCTTGGAGGAACAAATTGGTAATTACTATTTCCTAGACCATCCAACGGCATCTGAACTGGAAACAGTTTCCTAGCAAGAGTAATCCAGTCTTTCGGTGTGTCTATTTTTTGCACTGTTAACAGCATTTTTAGTCTTCACATTCTTAGAGACTCAGGAAGTCCTTCCGTAAGTGCTTCTACCATTGCGGAATCAGTTAGTTTCAAGCTGGCTCCTAATTTCAACTTATTACGAAAATAAACATCAACATTATTAAATTTCTCGTATTTTAAAGACACAAAATCACTAAAAGTAACAGATTCCGATGTTGTGAAGTATGTCTCAAAAATATCCTTTATGTTGTTCCAGTCTTTATCTAAACAATCACGTAAATAGAGGGCTAAAGCCTCTCCTCTAATACACTCTGAGAAAACAAATTTCTTTTCCTTTTCTGGAATGTTCTTTGCGGCACATTTCTCTTCAAACAATAGAAGATATTTGTCTATTGGAAAATTTGTACTTGTGCCGTCAAAAATAGGGAATTGAAATTTCACTGTATCCACAATAGCTACGGATTCTTGCTTATCAGTTGACATTTTTGCCGTTTTTGAGCGTGTTAGCATTCCAATCACAAAATCTTGAATTTAAGAGTTCGCATACACATCCATTTCAACACTAAAATCAATCACTTAAGAAGCACCTAATAAAACGCATAACTTTGGAGACGAGGGAAAGCACTTAAGAATCGCCCGAAAAGAAGCAAAAGCATCAGACGATCACACACTGTCCTTGACCTACTGTTGAACTTAGAAGCGCGTTATAAATAAATCCAGAACCTTTTTTCGCCACGTAGAGGATAAATCCTGCCAGCTAATTAATAACTGTAATGTTTTCAGTTATTCCAACACATCGTGGGCGAATGGTGAGGCTATTCCATTACATGTTCTGGCAGATGGTTGACGAAGCTGGGATGATTGAAGCACGGAGAAAAATGATGACTCGGGACTTTTCACTTTTAACAGCAAGCATATCTTTATTTTAATTTAGATCAGATGACATTTTCCAGATGGAGTAAATCAAATAACTTATTCAGTAATTGAACTATTAGATACAACTGACTTTAATACGTCATAACGTTCTAACAAAGAAAGAGGAGCATAGCGGAAGCGTTAGCAGGACGAAGGCGAGAAGGCATCTGTTTAGGAGAACTTATGACGCAGCATTTATATAAAAGGTTATGTAACAGAGTAGCTTATAGAAAAATGTAGAAAAAGTTATGATGCAGCATTTATATGAGGAGGTTATGTAATCTAGAAGGTACTGGTTTAGGGGAAGATCCTGAATTGCAGAAAATTAATTAAAGGTTGCTGGTTCGCAAAGAGCAAAGGCATCGTATTTTTTTTTATATTTTAGATATATATATATATACTTTTGGTATGGTTGATTGCAACTAAAAAGGGAGGTACACAACTACATTTTATAGCAGTCCCATGCACAAAATTTCAATGTTCTGAGGCTACTCGTTTTTGGGTTATGTGAGATACATACATACACCACAAAAAAAAATTTGGTACTTTTCCGTTTCGCGGGTGCAAATCTCGCCAAGCAGATTTATTGGCGAAAACATATAGTATACACACAAAAAATGTTGACAAATGTTAATTCTAAGAATTCTTTATTTTGAAGGTATAAACATTTTAATATGGTTTAAAATTTTGTAAAAAAGCCAACAAATAAAGACAATAAATTTCTAAAAATAAATTAGTCTAGGAATTTACTATCCTTTCATCGTACAACATCCTGATTCGCCGATTCATATCACGTGACCCCAAGTGATCTCATCTCACGTAAACTACGCTACAAAAATCTAATTCTCTCAGTAATTATCTACATTAATTTCAAGTTAAATCTTAACTTGAAATACAAGTTTAAATGCCAGAATTATTTCAATTTGTACGAATAGCTTACTCAGAAATTTTGTAAAATCGTAGTACTTTATTTCGCTAATGCATTCTAATTAGAATTGATGAATTTAACTTTTGACTTTGCCTTTTCTATATTTTCGCTATCCGGTGAGCGATGTGATTGCATCCTAATTGACTTAATTACCGCCGCAAATGGCCTTAGGTCATAAAATTGAACTATCTGGTAAAAATTCTGTGCAATTGTATGCCAGTATTGAAAGAAACAATCAATCTGATAAGAAATAGCTGCGACTTGTTTTGAAAATGTAAAAGGTTACCATTTAATCCATTTTAAATCAATTTTATAATTCGTTTGGTGTAAAAGAGTCCTTTATTCTGTCCTTATGTACAGATGTCATGCAAAAAACATCGTTAAAGTGCGTTCAATAGCACTCAAAATGGATATTTTGGTTGCAATATTACAAAACCCGGAATTACGATACTTTCTTTACTTCATACAAGGAAGAAAAAATAAGCAAAATATTAATTTGAAAAACTAATGGGTAAAATTTCTTAATATTTTAATAAAATAAAAAATGCAGATACCATGTATTGCTTATTCTCCACATCTAGAAGGCGAAAAAGTTTCTGTCTACGACGAACTAATTTTTCTTTCGCATCTTCTTGTATCTTCAATTTGACAACAGATTCTTCATTAGCTCTGAAAAGACCGGGAATAGGAAAAAATATATATATATATATGCTTACTAACTATATATTAAATAAACAATAAAATGTTTATTTAATATATAATTAGTAAACATATATATTTACTTTATGTAAACAATGCCACAGCATAAAACACCGTACAGCTTGCGTATACTGACAATTCTTCAAAAATATAATAAGCATATAGCCCACTTCTATGTTTAATAATACAGGTATCAGATTTTTCCTGCTTATATAACAAAGAAGGAACCACAGAACCAAAATGCTATTCTGATTTACAAAATAATAAATAGGCTAATCTTTGGAATATGGTAACAGGTGGTTTGGCAACATTTTGGTAAAGCAATAAAGGTTACTAGCTAGAACTTTAGCAGTGTACATGGATAAATTCAAGGGTGTGCGCAATGCCATTTTAGTGCAATTCTGGGATGTTTTTTTAAGTGAAAATAAGTTGACGTGTACATGGATGATACCGTGTATGTGCAATTCTTAAAAATGCGGCAAGCAGTGGGCGATTCTGCACTTTCTCCCAATTTCGCACCTAATCTTCGTCATAATTAAGCACTTTTGTTCCATAAAAGTTCTAGCATAAGCGTAATTCGGCTAGCACATTGTTGGAAAAAAATGTTGAGTAAAAAAAAAACATGCCTTTACTTCGTGAAACAAAATAGCATCCAGAAATAAAACTAGCAGGTTGCTGTAGCAGCATTGGCCGCCAAATATTCGCCAAAAAAACGCCAAGTTACCATAATCCAAAGATTCACCAATAAATACAGTGGTGTTACATTCAATGAACTTGATCCAAATTCAAATAAAAAAGATAAGATACTTTCTTAATTTTACTGTAGGATATGATATACAGAACAATCAATTATTTTTACCATAGAATATCTGTGCACATTAAATTCATATACGTAGAGTCGTAGCTAGGGCTTTCAGCACGCAGGGGCAACTGAAGATTTCGTGCCCCCTACTGCTTGCCAAGGATGGAAAACATTTAATTCTAAAATGTTGTAACATCAGTTTGGTGCCCCTTGGATTCTGCACCCGGGCAAAGATGGCCCCCTCTAGCTACTCCCCTGCATATACGTGAAGTTAGGTTTAGAGACATTTTTCTCCATTTGTCCACACTGTATGCAAAGCATAATATATTTGGAAAAATATAGTAATTTTTAATATATTAAAAGGTCATCATATACACTTTTATTCTTCTTACAATGCATAATTTAAAAAAATTCCAAAAATATATTCAATTAAAAGAATGAGTAATAACCTTGGAGCCTTTGTTACTACTCCTTCTTCCAGGTTTTTATATTTCTCAGATTTCAAAGCTAATTCTTTATGATATGATGCAACTTCTTTACATCTCTGAGCACGACTTGCTTCTCTTTCTCGCTTAGAAACTATCGCTCTTTCAGCTAAATCTTTACGGTTCAATGATACGTAATAAGATGATAAAGCCATCTGTTAAAGAAATACAAACATTAAAGAAAAGACAATGTACATTTTCATAGTACAATACAATACTCTGAATAATTTCCTTATTCTTTTTGTTCATGAAAAGAATATTTCCTGTGTAATATATTTAACTGTTAAATTAAATCACCAGATAATTGTACGCTCTTGTAACTACAGAATTTTGAAAAGAAAGTAAAAGGAAACTATTTCAACATTACTTTTTATAAACATATTTAACCTTTTTCCACTTTTCAAATTATTTTAGTTTTTCCATATTCTAAAAACACAATTTTTAAAGAAACAAAATTTCATTTCTCAAAACATGCGAAACTCAAAACCGAAAATTCAAACTTGTTTTGTTGTTATTACACAGTGTTTAGTTGTTTAATTAATGACATGAGCTTGAGAATCGTTTCATGAAAAGTTATTAATATTTACAATAATTAACATTTGGTTATTATCATTTTGTTTTCAATATAATAATCAATCATTACATAAAATGTTAAAACCTTGTAATATTTTATTAATAAAATGTGTTGAAAGACTGTGTACAGTAAAGTCAGGAGTATATCGAATTAAATGTAAAATACTTCTACTTCCAATTAGACATAAGGTCGTTTGAATGTTTACTCGAAGTTACTAAATCCGAAAATAGGTTGAAGTGCATTGAAATTTGTAGTGTAAAATGGCTGGAATAATTTCTAGATTATATACATCAGTTTTTAGGAGAACTTCGACTTTTGCCTTAACAATAATTGCTGGAGCTTTCTTTTTTGAGAGAGCAGTCGATGTTGGCGCAGATTACATCTTCGATAAAGTTAACGAAGGCGTAAGTAAATTTTAATATATTTCGTATATTTAAGCAGAATTAAAGAGTATGTTTAAATACCGGATTATCTAATTACTTTTTTTAATTGACAAATTTTGATGGTTGAGTGTAATTTTAGTTTTGCTGTTTTCATTAAAAATCATTTTAAAAACGCAGTTTCCATCAGTAATAGTTAATTATGGTTTACTTCATTTACTTTGTAGCATAGCTATGTTTATATAAAATGTAAAACCAGACAATTTCCTCTTAAAAACTGTTATTCACTTGCAGGTAAAACTTGGATTAAAATGGCCTAAAACTCACATGCTCATATATAAGATCCTGGATTTGTTTTCTAGCCGAAATTATTTTTGCAGTAGTACTCAACGTTGTAAAATATGAGTAATTTGAAAATAGGATATTAAATTGACTTTTATCTCATATTTTATCTTGATAAGGTATCCGGTGCATTGCTATTGAGAAAATTGTGAGGGGAAAATATTACATAAATATATACTTTTAAGTAACGAATTGAAAGTTTATTTAAGGAATTATGTTTTATGTTAGAAGGTTTTTGAAAATATTGATCAGGTTCGTTTGAATTGAATGCACAAGTCCGATGAAAAATGAACAAACTTTATTATTATCACAACAAATAAATCAAAATTCTTAAATTTCCTCAGATATTCGTACAGTATTACAATATCTCACAGTAGATATCTTTTAACTACTCAAACATTCAACAGAACTTAATTCAAAACAGCTAAAGAAAGCTAATCCGCGAATTCGATACAGTCAATAAGAGCAGCTTTCTAAACAAACTCTTAAAACAACAACAAACTAACTAACAACAACTGAATTGAGAGGTTTTCCTCCTTTCATAAGATTTTAAATCGCGTGCGAGAATTTTCTGGAATTTTCTCAAAATCAGAAAGAGATATTTGTTTATTAAATATTGAATGCATGTGCTCTTGTATTTTTAATTTTCCAGCTTAGCTTTCTTTTAATATTCATTACACGCTGCATTGCGCGTGGAATAAAACAATTTTATTTATAATTCTAACATTAACTAATTAAATGCCAAATCCGTAATACTGCACCCTTCCCAATGAGTGCTTGTCCCGGGCAGCACAATCCCTGGACAGGAAGCCAAACTTACAACTAAAGGCATAAATGCAATAATAAGCATTACATTACAACAACAACAACAAAAAAGCATTAACAATAAATGCAATGAATCATATCAAATACTAAATACAAATAAAATGAAATACACATTTAGAAACAAAAAGGACCATGGTCTTACACTATTTCCAATTATTTACACTATGTACTATGGTCAAAGTAATGAGCTAACCTGTTGTAATGAACAACTTTAGGTTTAGACTATGAAGACTTGCGGATCCAAAAGCCCACCAGCGGCCGAGCGGTAAAGTCGCTGAACACTGGTAGTTCGGTCCGAGGTTCGAATCCCGCGAACGGGCTGGCTGCATGGGCGTTTCGTGGTTTTCACCATGTGTAACGTGTATACGAGCCAGTTTCCCTTAGAAAGTCCTCCACGAAGACATCCCTCCCCTTAGGCAGATAGCCCTCGAGGCTTTGCCATAATCACCCACACATACACTTGCGGATCCGAACCACATGTCATTCAGCCTGTTTAGGACTGTGTGCGGACCATCTCGATGTGACTGTAATTTAGGCCCGACTTCTTTTTGTCGAATTGGGTTCCACAACCACACCTTGTCTCCTTTGTTGAATCTATGTCCAGGAGCTCTCGTGTTGTATCTGGTCTTCACTTTCTCCGTTGCCAAGTTGACTTGCTTTCGTGCGGAACGGTGCATCGCTTCAAACCGGGCCTGGACATCTTGGATATATTCCTCAGGCGATGAAGGCACATCCGTATGGCGACCAAACAGGCGATCACAAGGCAGACGAAGATCTCGACCGAAGAGCATCTGAGATGGAGGATAGCCGGTAGTCTGGTGTTTCTCTCCAACCCAAGTATGATTTCGGCAGCTTTCTGAATAGGGTCTTTCACATGAGACGTCAGCGTTTCCAGGCGAAGATTCCTTTTGAAGATGGATCGTCATGTCCTCAGATGCTAAGAACAGCTTATTGTTTTTGAAGTCTAACGAAAAATTGTATTTCCTTAAAAAATCCAATCCGAGTATGCATGGATCTGTAATATCCGCCACATATGTCGTGTGATGGTAGGCGGCATTTCCAAACATGATGTTCACTTTTAACTTCCCAGCTATGTCGATCTTATCACCAGATGCAGTCTGAAGGGTAACGCAGGATGGCATCCAAATAAACTGTTGAGCTAAATCTCTCTGAATGATGGTAACATTAGCTCCTGTGTCAATGATCATATTGCAAGGAACTCCATGGATGTGCCCATTAATGGCCAGTCCGTTACTGTTGCCACTCACTGTAGAAATCTTGAGCGCTTTAAAACAAGGTTTTTCATTCTCTGGCAGCCTCCGTTCCTCGATATGGTCATTCATTTGTTTCTTCCGTCGTTGCTGGGAAATGGTCTCAATTTCTGTGCTCCGGGATGTTCTGCAGTTCCTTCGTATGTGTCCTTCAACACCGCAGTTCCAATACTTATCACTCCTTTTTCCTCCGACGGCATTTAATTGTCTGTTTAAATCGTATGCCTTATTTTCCGTGCTCTGGGGAGTTCTGCAGTTCCTTCGTAGGTGGCCTTCAACACCGCAGTTCCAGCACATTAGAACTGGTTTCTTTTCACTTTTGTTCCATCTCAAGCCACTGACTTGTCTGGTAAAATCATCTGTTTTATTTTTCATACCCCAGGGTGTTCTGCAATTCCGTCGTAGGTAACCTTCAGAACCACATCTCCAACACCTTAGAGCCACTTTGTTCTCACTGCTACTCCGTATGAAAGCGTCGACTTGTCTGTATAAATCATCTAAAAGAGGCATCAGTTGACCCACTGGCTCGTGAACTCGCACAGCTCTGACTGGGTAGCCATCTCTACGAGTTGCTTGCTGGGCTGCCTCGACTTTTACAGTGTACAACAGAGTGCTTTTCGAATTTTCTAACATCTGCCATTCGCGGAGCTTTCTGTATTTCAAGATCCCGGATGCCGTCGATGAAGTATTGTAGAGACAGGATTTCCCTTGTTTCTGTCAGACACTCTGAAAAGGCAAGATAAGACAACTTTTCAACATCCGTGGTCAGCTCCTGAAGTGTTTCTTTTCGCGAGATTTTAATTGAAGCCTGCTGTAGTCTTTTAAACACTTCTCCCCAAAGCGCCGGATAGAGCTTCAAAGTCTAATCTCTGGTTTTCAGGAACAGTCTGCAGGATATTCGTTGTGTTTGCTCTCAAAGAAGTGGCGAGATGAGAGGCCTTAGCTTGGGAATCCCATCCATTCGTGTGTAGATAGTTTGAGAGAGGGACGAGCAACCATAGGTAGAAATTTAAAACCACTGCAGAAACCCTATCATTAATTTTTTGTTCCACGGCAGAAACTCTCTCTTCTATTTCCTCTTTCATACCGAAGAAACTTTTTCTTCAACGTTGTCCAACGTTATTTTCGACCCTGCACGTCTATTCTGCCTTTCCATAACCTCGAAATTGTTTTCTATTATGCTGGCAATTTCTGTTTTCATCTCCTCTTGACCTGCTTCAATCTTTTCTTGAACAGTCTTCATTTCTACTTTAACAGCTTCCATCTCTTTTGTAACAGATTCTTCCATCTTTTCCTGACCAGATTTCATCTCTGCTTTCATTTCTTCCTTAAACAAGGCAAAGGCTGATATCAACTGCCTTAACTGTTCTTCCATCGCTCTTGTTATTGGCATTCAAACCCCACTCCTGACACCAAAAATTGTTGCGTGCATACAGGTTCGTTTGAATTGAATGCACAAGTCCGATGAAAAATGAACAAACTTTATTATTATCACAACAAATAAATCAGAATTCTTAAATTTCCTCAGATATTCGTACAGTATTACAATATCTCACAGTAGATATCTTTTAACTACTCAAACGTTCAACAGAACTTAATTCAAAACAGCTAAAGAAACCTAATCCACGAATTCGATACAGTCAACAAGAGCAGTTTTCTAAATAAACTCTCAAAACAACAACAAACTAACTAACAACAATTGAATTGAGAGGTTTTCCTCCTTTTATATGATTTTAATCGTGCGCGAGAATTTTCTGGAATTTTCACAAAATCAAAAAGAGATGTTTATTTATTAAATATTAAATGCACGCACTCTTGTATTTTTATTTTTCCAGCTTAGCTTTCCTTTAATATTCATCACGCACTGCATTGCATGGGAAATAAAACAATTTTATTTATAATTCTACTAACATTAACTAATTAAATACCAAATCTGTAACAATATGAAGAAAAAGTTACCTTCCAGTTTGTTAGGTTCTCTAATTTGTAATGGACTTCACATAAAAAATTTTGATGAGAGACGTTTCAGTTTTTAGAATACAATGCCCACCCCTTATTAAACTTGCTGGTTGATAAACTCAACCATTTATTCCATTCAAATTTTCAGGAATC